GTTTTTTAACACTGCAAATAGCACAATTTCAGCCACCTGCAGCCACCTGGTAGGGATGCACTCCGGGCCGAGGGTCTCATTTTCACAGTGCACTTTTGAATCAGCCAGCTTAGCTTCATACAGGACACAAAGGGACATTTCAGGCATGTTTTGATTGGGGTGTGATGGTGGTGGTGGAAGGTGATGTCTTCATCTTTTTTAAAAAGTGTGCCTTGGCTGTCTTGCGTATGAACCCAGCTATTAAATTAAGTTGATTTGAATTAAATTTCTTTACTGCCCATCTCGTGGTTCAAAGCAACTCTGAGCTCTTGGAAGAGTCCAGCCCTCTGGTTTTTATGCCTCTGGGTCATTCCCGGAGTGTAGAATGACCTTTATGGTGTCAACGTTAAAGTTGAAGGAACAAGAATTGAAGATAGACATTCAGTCCGCCCTATTAGTTTATGAGTTTAGATGTAAGCTTCTCTCTGACCTTACTTGATGAGTTTAGATGTAAGCCAATCTCTTCACCGTTCCACTAAGCCTTTTTGACTCCATAAAAATTCCATACGATTGAAGTTTTAAGTCCAATGGTGGGATTCAAAATTTTTTACTGCCAGTTCTGTGGGCAGGGCTTGGTGGGCGTGGCAAAGGAAGGCTACTGTAAAATCCCCATTCCCTCCCCACTCCTGGGGGAAGGTTACTTCAAAATCGCCCTTCTCACCCCACTAACCTGCTTTCCAGTTCCGTTCTCCTGTGCAGGGCAATCAAAGAAGACCCAGCCGATCAGCTGGGACTCAGGAGGCAGAGAATAGATGGGGGCAGGTCCAGTCAGAGGTGGTATTTGCCAGTTCTCCGAACTACCCAAAATTTCCGCTACTGGTTCTCCAGAACTGATCAGATCCTGCTGAATACCACCTCTGTTTTTAACGTATCGGGATCTATGGTACCTTCTTTTGAACTGGGCCTTACCTCTTTAGTCTAAGCTTTGCTGGCTGAGGAATTCTGGGAGTTGAAGTCCACAAGTCTTAAAGTTGCCAAGGTTGGACACCCCTGGTCTAAGGGAAGATTTAAGAACTTTATTCATTTAATCAAGATGAGAGCCACAAGCAGTCATTCCAACCTACGTTTTTCTTCCGGGTGATGGTCTAGAACGTTAAAAAGGTTTCTCCAGTTTTCAGGGAGAAGCAGTTCAGAACATATTGTGGATTGGCTACCCGTTGTAAAGTTTCCAACTGCCTGTTCATCTGTCCCAAAGTTGCTGGGGTAATCATTGAATCAAAGCCAGTAGAAAATTATTCTTTGTCTTCCAGGTCATTTGAAACACAGGTAGGGCGACCACAAATTGAGCCAAAATGTCCGTTGCTAAGTAAGACAGTTGTTAAGTGAGTTTTGCCCCATTTTGTTGTTAAGTGAAGCACCGTGGTTGCTAAGTTAGTAACACAGTTAAGGAAGCTGTGATTTCTGAAGCCGCTCTTCCAAATCCAAAGCAAAACCTTGCACCCAACCTTCTGATCCATCCTGCCTTGGAAAACAAATACAACATTTGTATTTTGCAAGCACCTTAAGTTGATGGACTCGCTAACGATTGAGACATGCCTAGGTTTTGAACCAAAGGTTCATGCATCCCGCTTAATTTTAGGGCAATCCCAGAATGTACCTGTGGGATTATACCACAGCTTAAAACAAGCTAATTTCAAATTTAGCAAACTTTGACTTGTGGACATCAACTCCCAAAATTACCTCAGCTAGCCAGGCTGGCTGAGGAATTCTGGGAATTGAAGTCCACCAGTTGCCACCAGTCCCCACAACATAAGGGGATGAAAGAGATCTCCAAGCTAGCCGGGTGAATGAATTGAAGCCGCTTCTAACCAGGCAGCCTTGGGAGAAATGTTTTCATGGCTTATCTCAACTTCACTGAACATTTGCCTGCTGTTTTGTTTTTTTTCTCCCAGAGCATGTGTGTGTTTTTACTCTTTTCAAAGAGTGCAGACAAAAGCATTGGTTTGGATGCTTTAAGTTAATGCCTTTCCTCCAAGGAAAAGAGAAGTTGAACTGAAAGCAAAGGCAAAATAGAAAATGCAAATATTAGCATCGGCATAAAAATTTCTCTTGGGTCAGCTGGATCAAAGCAGAAGTATTGCTGTTGAACACAGAAAAATAATGACAACATAATTTTGGGTGACAGGCATGGAGTGTTGTTGCAAAGGTCTATGGAGGGTGGTAGAAATGCCCACTTCGTTTTTGGAGAAGCTCAGAGTAGCTCATGAAACAGGAAGAAGAAAGTAGCTTTGTAAGTATGATATATTTTGGATAGCAAAGTTCTGCAAAAATTTCTCCCTTGAGTGTAGACAAGTCTGAATACATACTCCTAACAGGGTCTTGCAGCTGTTTGAAATAAAAACAGGGTTTTATTGTGGGCTAATTCTTTGGAAATTCCTTGTGCCTCTTACACACTTGCTTAAGAATAATGTTGAGCCGTGTGGTATTCAAAGAAAGTTGTGTTTGGAAGTAATTACTATTATAATGCATTAATGGTTTTGCTGTTTGACTTAATACCATTTTTAAAAAAAAAAAAAAAACAGAACAACCATGATCCAGGCTCCCAAGGGAAGGAATGTTTTGCATTATGTTAACAACTATTAAGAGTTTTTTTGTACTGCCAGAGGAAAAATGAGAATGATTAAACTGTAAACATATTTAACTTCCAGAAGAGCTTATCTGAATGCTTGTTTGAATTATAGCTTCAGGGGCAATTTAAAGCCAAATTGTTGATACTGCTAATTCTCTTTTTGGAAGTTTGCTGTTCCTAACCATTTTAGGACTGGTGAGCTATGCCTATAGGTTTTTTTCTCCCTTATTGTTCTTGTTCAACCATTCCTACGGCTGTTGAAGATTTAAAGCTGGTGGGGGCTTGATGGCTCAGTGGTTAAAGACACTGAGCTTGTCAGCTGACATCCAGGGTTCAAGACCCCGAGTGTCACATGACGGGGTGACCTCCCCTTCCATTTCTCAGCTCCTGCCCTCCTAGCAGTTCAAAAGCATGCAAATGCGAGTAGATAAATAGGTACCATTTCGGTGGGAAGGTAACAGCATTCTGTGCAGTGGTGAAATGCTACTGGTTTAGCCCAGTTCGGCCAAATCAATAGCTACCGGCCAGTGGTGGGATTCAATTTTTTTTACTACCGGTTCTGTGGGTGTGGCTTAATGGGCGTGGCAGGGTAAGGATACTGTAAAATCCCCCATCAGAGGTGGCATTTGTTGGTTCTCTGAACTACTCAAAATTTTTGTGTTACCGGTTCTCCAGAACTGGTCAGAACCTGCTGAATACCACCTCTGCTACCGGTTTGGCTGAACCAGTAGTAAAAGAAAAGCTCTGATGATCAGCTGAGAGGAGAAAGAAGAGAAAAGCGCAGGATCTCCAATGCGCTTTTCTGTTCTTTATCCTCTCGGCTAATTGGTGCGGAAGAGCCTTAACTGGTGTTTGGAAAGCCGCATGTGCGTTTGTGGGCATTAGGTTCCCTACCAAACTGGTAGAATCCCATCACTGGTTCTGTGCACCTTGGCATATAGTCATGCCAGCTGCACAACCATGGAAATTGTCTTCAGGCAACACTGGCTCCCTCGGCTAAGAAACGGAGTCGAGCACTTCTACCTAGACACACCTGGGCACCTTTACCCCTAAAGAGGTGGGCTTCAACTTGTTGTAACTGCAGGAGAGGCAGATTTTTAGAGATGGCGGTTCAGCCCTAGTTACTCACTTTATTTTTTAAAAACCATCTATTTATTCATGTCCAGCCTTTCCCTTGAGGGAAGAGAAGAAAGAAAAAGGCCTCCAGAAAAGTTCTCCCAGGAGTACCGTGGAGGAAGATCCTTCAGTCTCTTCCCTCTCCAGCCCTGATGCTTCTCTGGGGTTTTTGAAATGTTTATGTTTCTCCGCTCAGCTTTCATAACCTTTGTGAGGGAGCCCGGTCTCTCTCTCGCTTTTTGCAAATAAACACAAGTGTGTTTTGCTTTATGGAAAGAGCCACCAAAGTGTTAAAGACTGGTCTATTCGGCCACTTCCCACAATTGTGTAGGAGGAGGAAACCAATTCCCTCTTCCAATTACCAAAAAAGGTGACTCTTTTCGATGCTTCAGTGCAGCTTCCTTTAAAAACAAAAAAATACCCAAAATGTTGCGTCTCTCAAACTCACGTATTCCTCCTCCTTTTTAACTCAATTATCTTTTCTTTTTCTTTTTTTAAGATCGCTTCCTTTTTTTAGTTTTGGTTTGAGGCCCTTTTATAGAACGGGTTTTAGCTCCAGGACTGAAAAATCAAATCCTGGACTGAGACGTAGGTTAACGTCAAGTACACGAAGTTGTAGTAAAGAATCAAGGCTGGACTGCTGGGGGTTTGCAGGGGTTCGGGTGAGACCGTAGCTAAGATTCTGCGCCGTTTAGAGAACCCCCCCAAATGCCACTCCTGGCTGGCCCCGCCCACCCTGCCCCTCCCCTCTCAGGATTCCCCATGCAGTCCATTTTGGATGCAGGTAAGGGCAGGGTGTGTGCAGAGGCTCGGAGAGGGTGAAAAATGGGCCTCCTGGAAGTTCAAAAGGGCCGGAAATGGGCTCGTTTCCAGAAAGCCTCCAGAATCCGGGGAGGGTAAAAATGCACACACACCCCGCCATGGTGTAGGAGGCCGACTAGGCCACACCCACCCAGCAACTGGGCAGAGAACCCTTTGCTAAAATTTTTGAAGCCCACCCCTTGAAAGAACTGAAAAAAAAGGAAAGGCAGTGAAGAAGGCAAGCCAGCAGGTTTTCTTGTGGTTGTCATGTACCACTGGAGGTTCTCTTGGGATGAAATGATGGCAGGTCCCCCCCATGAAATCTCTGGGCCGCCCCTGATCCGGGTGACTGAATGCAATCTTGGGTGTATGAATGCTTTTGCTGGCTTTGGATGGGCCACAGCTCAGTGTTCCCAAGATGGGCTGCTTTTTAGTGACCTGCGTTGTGTTTTGTTCCTCCTGGTCCTTCCTGCAGCGATGTGGAGAAAAGGAAGAGGACTTCCTCGGTGTGTAGCAGCGATTCTCTAAATGCTGGTGGTCTCACCCTGGCCCCCCGTCGGATCTCCTGGCGGCAGAGGATCTTCCTAAGGGTGGCATCACCCATGAAGAAGTCTCCTTCGGCCATGCAGATGCAAGGTCGGTGTCTACCTCGGAGAAAATGGTTCAGGCAGTACAGTTGGGCTGCCTTTTCTCTTTTAAGGGATGGGTATCTCTTGAAGATTCACATCTAGCTTCTAAAGTGCCTGTGATGACCCGTGGTGGGGCACAACAGCAACATAGTCAAATAAGCAAGGAGAGTCCCTGTATTATCTCCAACTTTGCCTCCAACGGCCAGGTTAGCTTCGGCTGGAGAAAAACTCTCCCAGGAACAGCCTTTAACTGTAGAAAATTCAGTCCAAAACAAGCTACATACAGACCGTAACTAAAAATCCAAACAAACAAAGCTGCAGTAATTAATTTGACAGGGCAGGAGAAGGACTTTCAGACTTGAAAGCACGGCAACACTCACACAGTTGGGAAGATGCCAGGAATACAGATAAGCCACGATGATACCAGATAAATTCACGATTTGCTCCCAGCAACTTACTGCGAGCAGCTTCCCTTTTTAAACACTGTGTTCCCAGGTGCAGCTAATGAAGGGAGTCAGGGCCCTTTCCTCCCCCATAAGCCATGCAACTCACGTTGCTCCCTTCTCCGTTCCTCCCTGCGTGTCCTAGGATGAAGAGAGGGTGGGCCTGGGTCTTCCTCTGAATTCCTTCTCTCTTGCTCTACCTCTCCCCTGCTCTACCCAGCTGAACTTTGCCCTTCCCCAGTTTCCTCCACAGCCAATGGAGCCACACTCCCACTCCCTGTCGGCTGTTCAGCCTCCCCCTCCGAATCAGATTCCGACAGGGGCATGACAGTGGTCTATGGAGATTCTCGGTCATCCGGGTTCATGGTTGTCCCAAAAGTGCTTTTTCAAGAGGCAACTGGACTTTCTGGTTTTTCTTAGAAAACATTTCGCTTCTTATGCAAGAAGCTTCTTGGATGAGAAGCAAAACTTCGTCAGAGAAAAACCAGAAAGTCCAGTTTACCTCTTGAAAAAGCACCTTTGGGAGAGGTTCCAGAGTGTTCTTTCATTAGATGACCCCCAGGATTGGAATACCTGGTTGCCTTCGTGTAAACCATCAACCTGAGTATATGATTGACCGGGGTGACCATTTAGTCAATACCAAAGTGAAGTAATGAGGGATGGATTCTTTCTTCCGTGATACCAGGAAAGTGGTCCTGCCACTTTGTTTGCAGGTGATGTAGTCTTTCAACTTTTCAGAAGCTTTGCAGGCGATGGCCAGGATTCAAGAACAGATTGACGTAGGTCTGTCGATCAGCAGCGCACCATTTCTCTTCATCTGTTTTCACGTTTATTTGAAAGTGAGAAAGACGATGATCTTTAGGCTTGGTTGAGTTTAACATTCCCAAAGTGAAAATGTCAAAACCCATTTGGGAGTTACAATCCCTAACAATAATCTCCATCTTTGGACACTTTAAGCATTGCGGATTTCATGCTGGCTGGGGAATTCTGGGAGCTGAAGTCCACACACCACTTCAAGTTGCCAAAGTGGAGAAACATCACAATCATTTAACAACCCCCATTATCCCTTGCGCGGTGGAGTCTGAGCAACTGAATGGATCTAGCAGAGCATTTTAATGGCCGGGTGCCCTTCCTGATGCCGATGTGGAGTTTTGTTCAGCAGATATATTCTCATTGTGCCCAGAGAGAGAAATATCTGCCTCTTACCTAGGATCGAACTCACAGCCCCCTGATTGTGAGGCGAGAGCTCCAAGGTGGAGAAACATTGATCTAGGTTAAATAAATTGAATGATGTGCCAGTCATCAAGTAATCTCAAAGGAGGGATAAGAAGTTGAAATGTAAATTCAGCTTTCGTGATTGCAATGATTTCTTCTTCTCGAGATGCTTTTCTCGCCAAAGCTGCCAATCGTTAAAGTTTAGAGTAGTTTCTAAATTAAGGACTGGACAGAAAGTAGCATCTCTGGTATTTCCCTAATAAAGTCCAGCATACGTTAACATTCTTTCAGGCGTGATATCCGTATTCTTATTTCTGCTTACAATACCTGCTTGAGTGCACCTGGAGTTGACTTGGCTTTAGTTTTAGCAGGGAGCTTGTGAATACGATCTAAACTTAAGATTTACCTCTGGATTGATCCTCAGGGGGAAAAAAAAAAGGAATAATGTTTCTTCTATATTTCTTGCTAAAATGTAAAGCGTGAGAGATCTTACATCTGTCCCTTTTCTGGAATAATAAAGAAAAACATGGGTACCGTCAGTGTTTCTGCTGTGGGTGCTCATAAAAGACAATGACGCCCCAGCTTCTGCCAACAGCTGCTTTGGAGGCTACACTGAAAGGGATTCATAATGTAAGGCTTTTTTCAACCATGAGCTCATACCTCTGAAGGGCCCTTGGCCAGGAGAGAGAGGCGTGTGCTTGGTTTCCTTTTATTTCCAACTACTTCAAAGCCTGATTGATGATAAACAAAAGATCCTGCTAGGGAGCCCTTTAGGCAGAGAGTTATGAAAGCCCTATTGTGTTATTAGTCGGTGTTAAAAGGTGTCGCCTATATCTGTACTTGTTAGGGGTACTGAGTGTGAGAAAATGACCCATTCTTGCTGACCCAGCACTGCATGGCAAGGAAAAGGGGTCAAAACAGCAGAATAAATCTAAAATAATAGAATCTGAAACCCCAAAATACTAAGTGTTCTTTCTTGTTTTTAATTTCTGAACAGGAGACAGTTCTCTCTCCCTCCATCTATCCTATATCACCTGTGCATCATCTATCGTCTGTCTGTTTGTCTCTCCATCCATCCATTGCCTATGTATCATCTGTCTGTCGGTCTGTCTCTGTGTATCTATTTATGCATCTATCCATCCATCATCTATGTATCATCATCTATCATCTCTCCCTCTGTCTGTCTATCATCTATGCACCATCTATTTGCTGTCTGTCTGTCTTGTCTGTCTGTCTCTATCTTACCGTCTGTATCTATCTATCTATCTATCTATCTATCTATCTATCTATCTATCTATCTATCTATCTATCTATCTATCTATCTAGAATGGGGGAAGTGTAACACAGAGATAACGGGGTGGATAGGGCAGCATCCAAAATACACAATTAGGGTTGGGCTGTGTTTCTTTAAAGCCGACCCCATGTACAGATACTGGATACCATTTGCTGAATTCATGGTTAACCCAATGGTTCTTCCCAGATGGCTGTGATGAAAAAGAACTGCTGCCGTTATCCCCGCTTCCACCGTCTTTTGACGAAGTGCCCCTGGTTTCCCTCTTGCAAAATGAGGATGTTCAAGATCAGAGCGGAGAGAAGAAGAACTCGGAGGAGCTGCAGAGCCTGTGGAGAAAAGCAATCCACCAGCAGATCCTTCTCCTCCGGATGGAGAAGGAAAACCAGAAACTGGAAGGTTGGTGCAGGATGCAGGCTAGCCAGGGGGTCCCGAGGGGGATGGAAGACTTCCTGGGGGCATTTGTGGACATACTCTGCCTTTCCAGGATCTTTCTTTTTTTTTTAAGGACTCATTAAATAGTAGTTACAAGAATCACAAACCCATCTTTTCATTTTAGTATGGAAAGCAGTTGGATGTGCCTGGGTATGATCTTTCTATAGAAGATCAGCTCCTCAAAATTATCTTTTGTTTTCCTATTGCCTCTTAATTATGTTTCTGTTCAAGAAAACAGTCTTCCCCTGTTATTTATTCTCTCTATCTTGATGGTCCCTTCCTTCCTTCCTTCCTTCCTTCCTTCCTTCCTTCCTTCCTTCCT